AATTCGGATCATGAAATAACATTAGATCAAGATGTAAGCTCCGATGAGGAATATTATAGGAAAAGGCGAGGCGATCAAACTGTACGTAGTCGTAGTGTTAAGGCGACGGTGAAAAAATCAAAACAAGAGCACAAAGCACTTGATATAAGTAACTTACCTCCCTTAACTAAACCCGATATTGCACCCGCTAAAAGCAACACAAAGGGTATGAGTAAAAATAAAAATGACTAAATCTCCTTCTAAGGTGACCAATAATGACGAAGATAAAATGAATAACGCTAAAAATTTTGATATTGAAGAGAATGCAGGAAATGCAAAGACAGCTGATAACGAAATAATGGACACTTCCTCCGCTGCTAATGAGCAGATTAACACATTCAATTCTTGTGACAAAAGCATCTAATGTCGTTTGCCTTTTTCTTTTGCGTTGTTGTCTTAAAAGTTCTTCATAAACGGATAGAGCATCTCTAACACCACGCCTTACTTTTGAGCTCCTGTCAAAATTCGGATCATTTTCAATGAATTGATCCATTATTTCAGTTATGGTAGACAAACTCCTCTTTACAAACGCCATCGAAAGTTCTTTTTGCTCTTCTTCTGAATCACAGCTGTCAACATATTTGTTTTCTTCTTGTTCAGTTAATTCCTCGAGCTCATCATTAGAAAGACTAGCCGCTGCTTCTTGAATTATTTCTTTGACATCTTCCACATTTACCCCTTCAAAATATGTCTGTACAATACCGCACCAAACAAGAAATACAAGTACACTCTTTCGGATATGTATTTGAAACCTATCGCTGCATAATATTTCGGGGAATACCCGTTGCTGCGAGCGATTTCGTGGAATCCCCGGGTTGAAATAAAAGAGCGCTAAACCGAAACAGCGCTAAACGAAACAGCGTTAAGCGGGATCTTACTGTAATCGAAAATAAAATATTTGCGCAGGCTTTATCCGCTGGCCTCTATACGGACACTATCAAAGAAGCAGAAAAGGTTTTCGAGGATTTAGCGGAATTAGTAAGTGTCATTAAAAGCTCCGGCTTCTTACTTTCAAAACAATTACAACAGGCCAAAAATTTAATTGATGAAACTCCCAAATCCGGCGAACATAATGCCCAATAACACCATTACTAAAGCGCCCATCAGATTAGTGTATTGGAATGCGTACAGCATTCAAAATAAATTAACGGAACTAGACAATTTTCTATTTGATCATGAAGTTGACATCGCTCTGATTACGGAGACCTACGCTACTCCGTGTAGAAACATAAAGATCAACAATTTTCGTGCATATCATTGTGACAGGCTGAGTCACAGAGGGGGGGGGGAGTTGCGGTCAGTTGTGTGTCTAAAGAAAGAACTGTGTTGGTGTCCAAAGAAAGAAGCTGCGAGAAAATTAATCTTACTGATTGGAACCTTTTCAAAGACATTTTGCAGGTGAACCAATCGAATATTGGAAGTCTAAGGACCAGAAATGATATAGATTTAGCCATTGATATTTTGACAGACAGCATAAACACTACAGTTAATAACGCCTCTCGTCAGGTTAATAAGGAGCAATTTGCCGGTAAGCTGCTGAAGAGCATTAGGGACTTAATTAAAGATAGAAACCGACTAAGGAAAAGATGGAATTTGACTTGGAGTCCTCTGGTTAAGAGAGAGTTAAATCAATTAAACAGGCTCATTAAAAAGAAAATTACCGAGCATAGAAATGAGGTTTGAGAAGAAAGGATCTTGAATTTAAACCCAGAGGACGGTTCGCTATGGAAGTTTATTAAAAACCTTCAAAGTACTGCTACTTGTAACAGGCCCATTTATACTGACAACAACATTGCCACTACTATCAACGCGAAAGCACATGTACTGGCGGAGCACCTAGAACAGCAGTGTATGCCAAACCGCATCCCACGTAATATTGATTTTACCTACGAAGTTTGCTATTATCTACGCGACTGGCTAAACGCGCCGACAGTCAGAAATCTCTCAAAATTTGCATCGCCCTCTGAGGTACAGGATATTATTAAGAAATTAAAGAGACCAAAGGCACCTGGCTATGACACGATTAGTAACACGGCTATTAGAAATCTGTCTGTCAATTGCATCACGATGTATACTAGCATCATAAATGCAAGTTTAAATTTAAGTTACTTTCCCGTCAAATGGAAGCATGCGAAGGTCATATTTCTTCCAAAGCCCGGCAAAGATAAAACAAAACCTGATGGATACAGGCCTGTCAGTTAGTTTTCAGGCTTCGGTAAGATTTACGTGAGTGTTAGTGTATTTAATTATGGCAAAGCACACGAGGGCTATCTACCTAAGGGGAGGACTTTCTAAGGGAATCTGGCTCGTATACACGTTACACATGGGGAAAACCACGAAAACGCCCATGCAGCCAGCCCACTCGCGTGATTCGAACCTCGGACCGAACTACCAGTGTTCAGCGACTTTACCGCTCGGCCGCTGGTGGGCGCGGTAAGATTTACGAAAGAGTTATATTTAACAGATTAAAGCCTTATTTAAACGTCCTTCCCCCAGAGCATTTCGAGTTTCGAAGCAAGTTAATAAGGCTTACAGAGTTTTGCGGAGACACACTTCATAACAAACAGAATGTGGCAATCCTCATGCTAGAAGTGGCGAAAGCTTTCGACCGCGTCTGGCATGAGGGACTTATCTACAAATTCCTGAGCGGTGTGGAACCGTAGCCGGAGGGCTTGTTTCCCCCCAGTTTGCTGGGTAACGGCGCACTGCGACGGGCTCGCCCATGCGACTGGTAGGAGCATTAGACGACCCGTGCTGCCTAGTGAATTCCAGGTGATGCGCTGCTCCTCTGGAGGGTAATAGTGGAGGTTGAACCTCCACGACGTGCCCAAAGGGGGAGTAGACCTGTAGTGTGATTTAGTTCACGGGGCAGGGAAGCCTAAATTGTTGTTGTTATCTACAAATTAATCCATTATAATATAGAGAGTGAGCTAATTCAGCTCATTGCGTCCTTCATCCAAGATAGAACTTTTACGGTGGCTATTGAAAAAGATCACTCCAGCGTCAGTTCAAATAATGTAGGGGTCCCTCAGGGATCCATTTTAGGTCCAGTTTTGTATCTACTGTTTGTACTAGATTTTCCTAGGTCGCAGCTAGATACCAATTTCTTCCTGGGACGTTACGCGGACGACACGGCCTTGGCCGTTAAGTCCGCAAATGCAAATTTTGCTATTCGTAAGCTGCAGAACATCATGCCTAGCATTGAGAACTGGTGCACAAATTGGAGAATATCCAGAAACACCCAAAATCTGACTTGCTTATAGTACGACAAAAACACACCAAGACGCCTGTAGAGGAGAATACTACATTATTTAATGAAGTAGTCCCAAAAGTTCGAAAAGCCACCTATCTTGGTATAGTAATTAATGAACAACTTACCTGGAAAGACCACATCACCCATGTTTGCAAAAAGGCGTTCCATGTTATTAATACCTTAAAGCCCCTTCTAGGGAAATTTTCAAGTCTTGACCTAAGAAGAAAGCGTTTAATTTACCTCACTACTATTAGGCCAGTCATCACATTTGCATCGCTTGCTTGGTCGACGATACGTAAAAATGATATTAAAATGATGCAACTAATACAGAATAGAGTGCTTCGTACTATTATTAACACACATATGTATGTTAGTAACTTAACTCTTCACCATGACTTGCGGCTGGATACACTTGAGGAGCACATGCGCAAACTTAATAGGCACTTTTATGATAAGGCACTTAAGTGTGATCACATGAATATTTTCCCGACTTTCAACTACGTCATATTAATGGAGGATAAAGACCTACGTCTATTCGCGACCCACCTCTGTAACTCAAACTTCCCCACTTGATAATTTCGTATATATTTGTAGATAGTTTGTATTGCATTATATGACAACGTCTCCACCTCTGTCCATGATCCTTGGCTCTCCTGACCGAATGATGCCGGTCCGCTCTTTTTGCCACTTCCTATTTACGTGACGATTGATTTATCGTGATGTCGCCATTGTGGCTAGTTTGATAGAGCCTTATACGCAGTTCACAGGACTGCATTGCCGGCAATAACCTGTCAGTCAGTCAGTCAGTTACACTGCCTCACTCATTTGAGCCTTGACTGTCATACTGGGCCAATTCGATAGCCTTACAATCAATACTCCTGTTGCGCCTTATACCAATTTTTGGACTTATTGATTTGCTATATTACATTTCATCACTTCTAAATTGCTCTTCGTTATGGATTTACTGCAATGCCGTATTTATATGATAGGCCTTTTAATATTTTTCATAGTCTAGGATAGGGCTCACGCCCAGGAACCCGTGCCTCGTCTACTGCAACCTACGAATCTGTTCTGCATTAGTCTACTTAATGCGCCTTAGAAGCACTTTACTTTATAACACCACGAAAACGATGTGCGAATCGCACGTTACTCTCGGCGATCAGTTGGAGCTTCATTCGAATAAATTCTGACTTGCAAACATGTAGCTACTAATTCATTGCTTTTATTAAAGCAACGAATGATGATGGCTCATGAAGATTGCGGTCACAGAAGAATACATCAGAAATGTCTAGGAGTGTAAAAGAGTAACAGTACAGCAAATGCTGTACAAAGTGTGAATGAAGTATATGGGTGAGGTATTTTAAATATTCGCCAGTGTCAGCAATGATTCTAAAAATTTAGACAAGGCGGCCTTAGCTTACGACAGCCGCTGCGAGCATCCTGTCGCTTTTAATAACGATATGTTGAAAGCTGCCACCGAAAAGATACCCAAATGCAACTGCTGAAGAATTGGTAGAAAAGGTTAAATCATCATTCAACTGTCCATCGCCGTGTGTAAGTTTGGCAGGTAAGTTCTACATGAGCCTACTGACGCTAATCTAAGAGAACGTGTGAAAATCTGTGCACCCCTTTCCCACGTGGAAAAAAATTCTCCTTTTTTGAACCGTCATGGGACTGGTAATGAAAGGTAACTAGTGTTTCGAAGCTTGTGAAGTTTTATTGGTGGAAATAAATACAATCCCCAACAGGTACTTGAAATAGACCTTCAGGAGTTTTACTCCAGTAAGCAAGTTATTTGTTTAGGAAAGGCATTAAAACCTATCAAAGAAAAGGAAGAATATTACTGATTCACATGGAGAATACATAGGTAATTAAATTAGTATGCTATTTTTTTTTAATTCTTCAAAACCTATTTAAAAAATGACATTACTTGTGGATGACCTGGTATAATGTCAAACCAGCTTAATGCATTTGGATTTAATCAAATTAGATAGAGGCACTTTTGCAAGTTACCTCATTAACACTTTTGCATTATGTCCACTCCAGTAGACAAAAGTTTAAATTTGTTTATTCTTCTGTGAATGCCTTAATATATTCCATTCCTGCGTTTATTCATACTTTAATATTAGAACTTTCAACTATCGATCATACATGGCTGTATAGCATCACTAAGTAGAGCATTACTATTTGGAAAATGGCTGCTAATTCTGTTTCCAAGTTAGTTCAATTTCTCATAGTAAACATTATATAATATTGCCATTTTTTATTCATAGTTAGTAATTTTAAGCATTATATTTTAAATGTCAGTTTGAGAAAATTGTGGAGTGGTAGATAAAGATCTACCGAAAAGAGTGAATTGAAACCCAAATGTACTGCTTATCAAGCCAAAACACTACTGGAAATGTTAATGTTTGGCAAGGAATTTCTAGAACATTTGGCATTTGAATCCAATAGGTACAGGTTACAAAATCGTAGCAAAATGAATTCAATCACAATTGACGAAATGAAGGTATTTTGGGGGACCTGCATGTACATGTCAGTTGTAGATTTACCATTTAGAAGATGGTAATGATCACTGCAAACAAGGCAGGAAATGATTTCAAATGCAATGACCGTAAATCGTTGGGAAGAGATTTGTATGCATGTACGTATATGCATGCTGTCCACTGTAGTGAACAAACTGTAGCAATTATTTAAAACGAAATTTGAATAAAATTATTTTTTTTGTTATTACTAAGGTTATTTTAACTAGAAAAAATACAAACATTTTCATTTAACTTCTAGATTATTTGTATGCAGCAAAGAGTTAATTGAGAGTGAAGGACAAACTAAAAGCGTTATAATGTGATTTAAACTTGTTTACCAAAAACGAGATGATATTTAGCAAGAAAAGCATTGAAAAATATTTTAAATCTTCTTTGTTACTTTTCATTTGCCATCATCTTATGAAACTGAAAGTTGGAAACATCACATGCATCATTAAGGTCCCAAGCAGAAAATTATAGTACAGAGATATGAATAAATACTTGACAATATCCTTTAAGTAGCAGAATTTTTTTTTTTTGGAAGGGAGGAGGATTTCGGATTACAGGAATCCCAGAGGGCGCAGCCTACTGAGGCGCTCAGGGGAAAGTGCTGATGAGTTAACAAGGTCGTATTAAAACCTATTTTCGTCTGCTTGTGACATTATCCCGGATTGCAATACACAGAATCACGCACATGTTGCATCCTGTATGGAAAGGGTTTTACGTGATTATGAACGTCAGGATTCACACGGTGCTGTGACGCTATTCTGGAATATAATATTGATGCACTCTCCCTTCGAGAATATTCCAATTGAACAACTGCCTCTCAAAGCAACAGTCTTGTGACTGGTTCTCGTGGATTCTGATCAAGTCTTATATAGAGGAAACGTAAGGACCATTTTCTATCATTTCTTTTCGTACTGTATGCTTTGCTCTTACTTTCAACATTTCTGTTTGAATCAAGATGAGTTACTCGAGGTCATTTTCATGTTTGTACCTATTCGATGTTACTATTTAATTTTAGTATGGAATACTGTATATTTTCTGCAACTTCCCTTATAGTTTTATAGTTTCTATTTTTCACTTGGATTTGGAACACCAACAAGAAAGCAAGTCTATACTGAAGAACATATCCACACAGATACACTGAAACTTGTTGATTCTGGTTCCAATTCTAACAAATTGCACAAGATTCCCAAAGCAACCTCTGTCTCATCGAACTCTCATCGAATTACAAAGAAAAAATAGAGGAAAATAATACATAAGAAGAAAGTAAGTATTCATGAAAACAAAAAGTGTTTATTATTGATATAATTTTTATTATTCATTTTCCAAACGATTCATAATTATTTTTCCTCTTTTAGCACGATGGACGGTTTACTGAAAATGACATCTCAGAGGACCTGGTATGTAATTGGCAACAATGTCTTTGTTGGACCTACTCTTTTAAACGGAAAGATCACGGTGCACATCAGGCAGTACACCAAGTACGGCAGTTCTCACTGTCTAACTCACAACAGCATGAACTTAGAGACTTTGTGTTTAGATATCCTCTCTCTACACATCCCATGGGACATGTTTATGATAAATATGCAACTGCCCAAGAATTGTAGTGCTGAATACGATGGTTATCACTTCACGTTAAAGGAATTGACAGTTAAAAGAGTGGAGGAAAGAGATTTTAGTCTTAAAATTGCCCAGCAGGAAGGACTGTCAGCTAATTACAGTCGCAGCAGTGAGATTGTTATCAACTTTGTCCGTCAATGTATGGACTTTTGTCAAGCATATAAAAACATGCCCACGAAACATATTAATGAGAAAAGGCTTCCAGAATCCTACGACTCTTCTTTGGAAACAATATACTTCCAAACCATCCTGAAGACATCACTAGAAGAGCTGATTCAAGAACAAGGAAACTTGAAGTATTCTAAACTCACAGAGTGTGAAGTGTCTGCTATTCATAAAACAGATCTGTCAACTACTTGGCTCTGGACACAGCCAGGGAATTTATGGACTGTAGAGCCTCATTTACTTCTGCTTAAACCTACTCATTATATCACAAGACATTTCAAAACCTGTTTATCGTAAACATGTACTCAATGAAGTGAAAGAAACATTTTGTTCTATCAATTAGGAAAAATATGGTGCTTATGGTATTGAATACTATGAATGTTTAGAAAGTAAAGAACACTTGCTAATAATGGTCTCTTTATTGTTTTTATAAAGTTAAAAATTAAGGAAACACTATAAATACTTATACATATTTGCTTTCTGTCAATGACAAGGATGTAGTCATCCTAAATTTAAGGACAACACTATAAATAGCGATGAACGCTCACATTTCTGTTAGTAAAAATCACTGCTGTACACATCATGAATCTGACTCAGATGTATCGCGATCCAGCACTTCCCACCAGTTTGGGTGGAGTGAGTGCTTTGCATCGTGCTTTAAAAAGCAATCAAGAAAGCAAAGAATCATATACTTTACACAAGCCTACTCAACGAAAGTTTCGCTGCAATTACGTCCGCGTCAGAATATCTGCTCAGTTTCAGTCTTACTTGGCAGATATGCAGTCTCTTGCCAAGCACAATGATCTACATAAATATTTACTAACACGTACTGATGTGTTTTGAAATATGCTTGGGGCCATTCGACTTGAAGACAAAATAGGTCAGAGTGTCAAATCAGCTCCAGAACATACTTTTCGATGAAACCACATGCATTACAAATCGACAAAAGAAAAGAATGTAAGAATAAAACCGTTCAAAACTATCTTAAGGAGGAAAAGTTCTTTTTTTCACAATTCAAGAGCAGCACAATGAAGGCAAGCATCATCGAGTGATTTAACAAAACCCTTATAGAACCATTAGAAAATTTTTGCCAAAGAAAAAGTGAAAAACATGCAATGCTCTTACGGGGCTAGAACCTGGACCAAAGAATATGTATTGTTAAGAAGGAAAGCTTCGCAGCAGCAGGAGTGGCTACCTAAGAACAGAAAGGGACACAGCTGCACATGCGTGAAATATCCTGTTGCCAAAAAGTGCCAAAGCTGGAAGCTGATGTCGAAGTTCGAACAGGTTCGACGGTCACGTTTATCAAGAGTTTAAAGCTGTGTGACTCAATTTTTTTTCCCCTACATATTGACAGATATAAAATCAGACATCAAACTGCGATATGGATAATACAAGTTCTACTAGTAAAGCAAAAACACGAAAATTCGAGTTTAAATTATCGTGAAAAGTCAAAGAACGATTCATGTTAACCCGTCTTCCTCAATTTCCTGTACACGTGGCGAAGATAAATCTCGGCCAGATAGATCACACAAAGGGGAAATTCTCACCAACACGTTCCGTCACCAAATCCCTTGGCGAATTGTCCCTCTTCTTTCTAGCGGCATAGAAGACAAACTGGTTTACATTACGTCTATGGAGCCTTTCCTTCTTTACATAGACTTTCTTTGCCTGGACCTCTCGAATATGCGCCGAATGTGCTACCGTTACACCACGAAGGAAAGAGGAAAAAATACCTTATATACTCCCCCCTTTTAAAGGGTCACAGGGGATTAGGGGATCTAATCGCCAAACCCTGGTGGTGATGAATTACTATCACCACCTTTTAGCTCGTGCGCCACATTCGAGTCATTAGGTTATTTTGAACCTAGAGACATAACATGGAGCTCTCGAATACAAGCCGTGTGTGCTACCGTTGCACAACGAAGTCATGCTGGAAAGAGGGAGAAAATACCTTATGCACTCAATATCAAAATGTGGAGGTATTTCAGTGAAATAAAAAAGTGTCATTACACTGAAGTAAAAAAATTAAATAATTCACCTGGAACCACTCCATTCAAACTGAATTAGTGAATGTCAATAAACACAATGAAAAACAAATATAGAATCAATTACATAAAGACCTACCTAAATTTCAACTAAAGTTCAAAGTGGGAGATAGAATGCATGTTGAAAAATTAAAAATGCTTCTTGATAAAACGGTACGAAAAGAATCGGACGAGAGAAATCTACAAGATCCATGAAATCGTGTTGAAATTTGGTATATTTGTTATAAGCGATAACAACGCCAAATGTGGTTTACGCACTTTGTTAAGATTAATTTGAAATAATGGACGATCACTTTTTTTCCGCTCGTTTACAATGAAAAAAAAGGAAAGGAAAATAGGTTGCTATAATTTAAGAATTATTCTTGGTGCAAACTGAAAGAAATGTGCCAACGTAATTGTTTTTTAATTTCTCCATAATTTTCGCGCCAAATTTTACAAAATTTAATATTTGGTTATAATTTTAGTCGTAGAATCGAAATATGAAAAAAAATTGGCATGTAATTTCAGAAAAAAACCGAAATTGTGTCAAAATACCTATATTATAACAGTGGTATATATAAATCTGATATATATCCTAAGTCGCGCTTTCGAGACATGAAAAACGAAATTTGAATTTCATCATCCAGGGTGATGTCATGAAAAGGAGGAAACAGGCTGTAACGTGTCCTTGAGAATGCAGTAATGGCACCTTCCGCTAAGCGCTTCAGTAACCTCCGCTCTCTAGAATCCCTGATCCCTGCCATCCAATACCCCCATAATTACTAATTTACACATAGCCCAGCTTTCTGCTTGTAGATATTTACTACACGAAGAATCACTTATCACTGAGGGTATTTGAACATCTCACTTTTGCACAAGAAACCAAATTTTCTGTAAAAAAGATAGGGGATTACCAGAGAAGAGAACTTGTTAACTTTTTCCTCGTCAACATTTCTTAGCGTATTTAACTTAGATCTGTAGTCATCGCCAAGCCTAATGTCACAAGGAAAGGTTACCATACTATTTGTTATTCAATTACTAATATAAAAAAATTGTTTAGACATAGCGGCATGAGTCATTACTCAAGTTCTCATGTATTGGATAATCATGTGGTGATGAAAGCAAAATATAATAAATAATAATTCAACAGCTTGGCATCAGGTGTATAAAATACTAGCACGTGTAAAATCAATGATGTTCCTATGTAGAATATTTCAGTTTAAGATGTATGCCAAGCAGATATGCAGCTACGGAGCCCAATTATTGATCTCGCAAATTTATGCGAAAATGATTGTTTCTTCAATAATGAATTATTTTACTTAGTGCGAATGTGAAATTAAGAATTGGAACTCCACGTTTTATTATAGGAGGGAAAAAATGAAATGCACATGCATAAAGCATACAAAAAAAAGTTGTTGTTGGCTTTGAGGTCCGGATTTTAGATCATTCGGATATTGGGTGTCCAGATCTCTGACTTTGTACTGTACTTATTAATACACCTGAACTGAGCTTTCACTAATGAAGGACATCGTCCAATATATTATGGAAAATTTAACATTAATATATATCATAATATAAGCATTTTTATGTTCGTGTTGTAAAATCAGAGAGATTTACTAATATTATTCTGGAATCCATATCAGAATCATATATAGACTTGACTCAAAATATATGGCAAGCGGAAAGCTTTCTTGAGAGTTTGGTGATATGAAAAGAGAGGTGGGAGACACTTTTGAAAGCCCTATACTGCTGTTTATTAGTGTCGCCCAAATGGCATAGTGGTTAGTGACGCTGACTGTTGTACCGATGAGGCCAGATTCAAATCCCAGAGAAAGCATGGATGTTTATATGCATGTAGTGTTTGTGCAGGAAGGGGAGATTCAAAATACATGATGAACTGAAAGCCTTCTCGAGAGGTTGGTGGTTGGAAAAGAGAGGTGGGAGACACTCTAACCACCTCCCCTGGGGCATTCTCCCTCATTCTTCTTTTTAAAAACATACTGAGAAATTATCCTAAAATAACTTTAAGTGCAGACTAAACAAGAAAAAAGAGTGTCTAATATAACTAAATACAGGGTGTTCTACTTGAAAGGGGGCCGGGGAAAGTGTAATAAAAAATCTCTACAACAAGAGGAAATGAAACCAAAATTTTAATTACACATCTTTATGTTTGAGAAATGAAAATGCATTAGAAGAAGTGCTGGAAGTGATTCTTCTTCCACCTGTATTTGAGATAGGATAATTTCTCAGTTTACAGTTCAAAACAGCACTGCATGTTCGCATAAGCTGTTGCCAGAGTATTTATTAGGCATCACTGCCTGGATTTCATTGCAGATATTCTGACGTAATTCATCAACGGTTCGTGGTTTGTGCTTGGACGCTACCTCTATAGCGACCCCACGGAAAAAAGTCAAAGGGGGTCAAGTCTGGAAAAATGATTCCATAGCAGTGATACTCTCTATAGATGTGTGGCATGTTGCCCCATCTTGCTGGTGCCTTTGTGTCAGCTCTTTATGATCCAACTGGTTCACAAATTCATGACACAGTGCCTGGGCACACTCCACTGGTGAAAGTAGTGTCAAAAAATTTACCCAATGGTACGTCGCTGTGATAATGCACAAAACATGCCAGTCTTCAATGAGAAATAGAAACTTTGAACTACAGCTGAAATCGCAGTCAATCCAATGAAGGAGTCCTATGACCCGAAAAATTTCAACAAGGACAATCATGGATATTCTGAATGTTAATGCACATGGATATGAGGGAAAAATGGGCACATTGAAGGTTACGACAGATCTTCTGATCAAGTATGAGTGAGATATTTTACCTCATCATTCTAAGTATTTGAGATCTGGTGGTCTCAGGTACAGAGTCCACCAGACCTGAAATACTTACCCAGTTTGAAAGAACTCAAGAGTAGACTGCATGTTTCTTCCTGAAAGAGGTTTTTTCAGTGATTATGGAAGGCATTTCAGGACCTGAGAAAAACTAATATCTTGCAAGGAATAACAAATCTTCTGAGACAGAAGACTACATGGAGAACATGCTTGAAACAAAATATAACCAGAGAGAAGAGAAACAATTAGAATGCTTTATTTCTTAAATCACGTCTGCATTTTCTGTGCTGTCCTGATGGCTATTACATGCTCTAAAAATTACAAGATCATTAGAGTAATTCAGAGAAACAGAATTATTTGCTACTGTGTTACTTACTCTGATGATTAGAGAGCAAAGGACAGTTTGAAATCGATTAAATTATTGCACACATAAAGCAAATTAAGAAATTAAATTAATAAAGAAACATGCTGTTGCATGGTTTCTGATGACGGGATGGCATGAATGTTTGTATGCATGTAGTGTCTACGAAGCAAGGGGAGACTCAAAATATATGGCAAGCCGAAAGCTTTCTTGAGAGTTTGGTGATAGGAAAAGAGAGTTGGGAGACACTGACCACCCCCCTGGGGCATTCTCCGTCAAAACTGAGGTGGGAGTTTAATAGTTATCTAAGCTCAGGAATACCTCAATAACCTGTGATAGTACTGACGTGCTGGCTTAGTTTCTACCTGTACTGTTTTGCTTACAGTGTATACAACTTCTAATTTATAGATGCTTAATTTAAGTTTTATGTGTCTAATTAAATTGTTATTATTTTTTAATTAATTGTTATTATTTTAGTAATTTGTAAATTGTTATTATTATAGTATCTGTAGATGATCACTTTGCAACTATTTAAAAGTATTCAGGAAATTGAATACAGGCTGTTAAAGTCTGTCAGATTATGGTGACATTTTGAAATTTCTGGTTAATTTCAAAATTTCTAGAAACACACTTTCAAGGACTTAAGACTGGTTTTTCCAAATATTCATTCTCATTGCTGGCCATCTTTGTGCAACAACATAAATAGGGGGCTGATTCTATAAGTTTTTATTTAAATAACTCAGTCATCTTATTATTTTGGCTTTATTATAACTTATGATTTTACCAACTTCCAATGGAATCCATTGTAATTTAATGTGTTTCTAATTCTGAAGTTGTGAATTTCAACTGCATTGAACCTTTATTTTTTAAGACTGAATTTGTAATGTCCTTTCCTACGTTAAAGGCTCGTTTACAGTAGCAGAATGTTACAGCTCAAGAATCGTGCATGAACTTAATGGCTTTTTAATGAAATTAAATTTCATTTGCTAAGAAAATACATCACAAGATTAATGACTCAAATAGGTGTAGTCTCAACTTTTAATTTTATGCAATTTTAAAATAGCATCAGTTTCTTAGTACAAAGTCAATTATTTGCTTTGAATGTAAACTTCAAAGAAAACGCCCAAACTTCAAAGATCGAGGATTTCTGAAATTCAGATTAACATTTTAAATCTAGTAAGATGACATGAAGACATGGCAACAGTGTTGTTTTATTTATTGTTTAAGTCAGATAGAAGAATAGTAACCCACCAACAGATCTGGTACAGCCTACAACAGATCTGGTACAGTAGGCAACAAAACTTTACAATTTAGAAGCAACACTGGGCAGCAGAATTTAGGGTGGGAATTTTTTCAGTTTCATCTAGTCTACTTGTAATGGTTTGTATAACATCCAAAATAGAAAAAATCATTGAATAATTCCTTGACTTCATTAAATACTTCATACAGGTTAGCAAAGACAGTAGAAAATTTGAGCTATATTGTAAGTTTTTCATCAAAACATTGAGCCTGTCAGAAAATTTAGGTTTATTTGGTCTATTCATCAGGGAAATACTATTGTTAGGAGTCTTGTTTGAATTAGAACAGTCTAATCAGAAGTGCCAAAATCCGTTTCTGTTAGATCTACATAATAAAATATTTATTGACATCATATAGAACTAGCATTGAAGATGGAATTATCCAAGCAAATTTTAGTGGAATCTCTAGTTGGGGAACAACATAGTACACCAAGCTATTTAGCATATAAAAATATACTCATGTGTCATACCAACAAACAAAATTTCTCTCATTAAATAAAAAATTTTCACTTAGCTTCCTTCAGTAAATTACACATATTTAGTAAAAAATGAAGTTAAATAAAACCCAGTATCTTATTCTTAAAATGACTTTTTCAGTATTACATTTAATTAAACTAAGAAGAAACCAAATAATATTGCCATTTACAATTTCAAATGCAAAGTACCCTAATATAGCTTAACTCGGTTCATCAAACATTCTACAGAAACATAAAATGCAGTAGATGTGATTGACAAATGGATTACGAAAATATTCGAAGCAAATAGAAATAGGTAAAATCTACCTGGATAGTTCAGCACTTGCTTCTCTTACTGTTTTCATCAAATCCAAATTGTCTGCTCTCAGAATCTAAATTGAAAGCCCAAATTTAGTAATTCAATTATTTCATAACATTGATTTCAAAATTAAAAACGCAATTTTGCACCCTAAGTGAGTTTGTAAGTAAAGAAGAATTTGTTAATTGTTAAACCATTGCCGTATAATTGGAAAAAAGCCAAATTCCGAATTTCAAATGAAAAGATAGTATGCATCTGAAAATTCATTGCATTCCCTTAAATGAAAGATGCACACAAAAATTATAAAGCAGTTCTAAAATTAGCTTTCAGATTAAAATTTCTAATAAAGAAATATGAAATTCAAATAACTTCTAGATTGGTTCTAGAGCATTTCATATAAATATTTTGAATAAATTTGAAATTGAATGAAAATAACATCTTTAAAAAAAATTGAGTACAACATGCTCTGGAAAATGTTAGGACATCTTCAGCATTATGCTCATACTTTACAAAATTTACTGTATCATCTGTACTTGGAGTTCCTAATTTCCCGTAAAAGACTAAACTGAACAAAGTACCTTGTTTTGCTAAATTGTGACTGCATACATGTAAATGTGAATTCATATTTTTACCAATATGGGATCTGGAAAAAGTTTAGTGAACATAGCAACAACAAATAACTGAGGGAAGTATAGAAATATAACAGTTTAGTTTAAGGCATTTCACAGTTTCTGAATCATTTCAACCGTGCTGTGTCTAACGACTTAAATTTTAATTGTCATACAGCAATACTCATGACAAACATACTGATTTTGAAGCTGATTTTACCATGAAGGAGAGAAATTCTACTCCTCATAAGCAACTCTTCTGCAAATATACTGGTTATCAAAATTAAAGGATAATGACAGAAATAAAACATCTGTGGTACTTCATGAAAAATTATTAATAGAAATTAGTACAGAAGCTTTAGTTAACATAAACTAAATGTTTATCAGTTGATTATTCTCAAAATATTGAAATTAAAACTCTATTTATGGGAAAATAGAAAATAATGGAAAAATTAAGTCACTTCTTATGGAAACAATTTTTCTTTAATAAGGCGTGTAGTTATCTTGGTAGAATATGCTTACCTCACATACTGATTTCATAGACTTTAAGAAAGTGTTGATCAAGTCTGGTGGAACAGCAAGCAATTCTTCTAAAAGTGTACTCTTAAGTCCTGGAGGGTTTGGGAAGAAATTTGGTGCACTGAAATTCGGAGGTATAACCACACATGTTCATTCAGATTTAAGTTAGGTGAATAAGGTGGGCAACCCATTTGAGTTATATTTTCTGTTAGCAAGTATACTGATACCACATGTGCTTGATAAGGTCAAGCACTGTTGTCCATTAGCAAAAACTCTGGGCCAATAGCACCCCTAAAGAGTCTAACATGGGGTTTCAATACCTCGGATACATATCTCCGAGTCATTACAGAAGCTCCTAGAAAAGTATGTTGCTTGATAAGACCATTTGTCAGGATTCCTCCCTAAACCTTAAAACCGCAGTCATGGAAACAGGATATTTCATGGACAAGGGAAGGTAAGTTGTATGTTCCTTCTTCTATTCAAGATCAAAACAGGTCTAGAATAACTGTTAAGACTATATCTCTAAACAATATTTGGGCCCAGCCGTCTTGGCTCCATTGAACATGAAGACATCACCAGTTTAAAGGCGCGCCTTTGGAAGCCGGAGTGAGTGGGACACAAACTATTGTTTTTTTTTTTTTTTTTTTCCCTACATTTCAACCTTGTTAAGCCTTCGTGTAGCAGTAAAATGGCTAATTCAAGTTCCTATGGCAGCCTGAAGGTCTAAAATCAAATCTCTTGTAGTTGCTTTCAGGTTCTTTGAGCCGGCAATGACAGAAAACGGTCTTCTGATGCAAATGTCCCCTTTGACCAGGCTGTCTATCAACTGATCTGATGCTAAAAAAGAGGCTCCAAACTCTTGATACGGCACTCTGAGGGATATTCAAATCTTTGGCAACCTCCATTTATATTACACCTCCATCAATTCAACAAATTTATTTGGCACTTTTGACCTTCACTTAAATGATGCCTTTGAGCCATAACTACTGAATACTGATTACTGAGCAACCACATTCACTTTAAACAGTACTACTAACCAGAATTCTAACACACATCCACTGAGCACTACATTGTCAATCACCGAATTTGCATGTTTCTGGTGCTGTGCAGAAGTGCAATTTTCTGTTCAATTGCATTTAATTAATATAAATAATTACAGAATTAGGCATCAGCTGCTACATTAACTTGGCGAGCGTATTGTTTCTCATTATTCTTTAATTTTTATGGCCAGTGTACTAATCAAGATGCAGCTTCTTCAGACAAAAAAGGGCCCACCAGCGACCGAGTGGTAAAGTTGCTGAACACTGGTAGTTTAGTCCGAGGTTAGAAACCCGCGAACGGGCTGGCGGCATGGGCATTTTTGTGGTTTTCCCCATGTGTAACATGTATACGAGCCAGTTCCCCTTAGAAAGTCCTCCATGAAGGCATCCCTCCCCTTAGGCAGATAGCATTCGAGGCTTTGCCATAAACACACACACTTAAGACAAAAAATTTATAGCTCCTTACATATTGAAAGGCTATAAATACATGAAAAATCAGGAAATAAAATGCCATTATCACTTATCGCCTCTTCCCCAACAAAAAAAAAAAAAAAAAAAAGTATTACATTAGACAAACTATCACATATCACTGACTCTAACAGGATAAAGTTCTTTGAAGCAATGGAGAGAAATTTTACTTTGGCTTGTTTGACTGCAAGCAACACAACAGACAAAAACATCAGAGAAGATGAGTAAAAGTTTTTGTAAGTATCAACAAGGTGGTGCAGTTCTAACCTTATGGAAATATTTAATACAATTAATAAAATATCATTACACAAAGTACTGAATACCTTGAATGCCATGAAGCATTAGCAACTCACAATGCAGTAACTTGTACAATTATTCAATTCTATAAATGAATTTCCAGCTCAGTTTTAAGTAAAATACTCTACCTCACAATGAAAACTCACCCTGACAATGGCTGCTTCCACTGAATATCTTAAGAAAATCACAAACTGATAGTCTATTGAAAATGCTGTTCAACAAAAATTATGAGCTTATTCATAGGTAGTTCTATCATTACAGAAGTTCAACTAAATTATAACTGTCTTCAGAGAGACATTGCTATTACATATCTACAATAAAATATAATATATATACATAAGCAAACCAAATTTTTTTCATCTATGGATTGCTTTTATTAATAAACTAATTTTATGGTTAATTGCAAATAGAATGTAGTGATCGCATGGTGCGAAAGACCTCAGAGGTTTCGAGTGAGTAGTTGCTTTGCTTGTGTTGCCAGCTATTAACACCAGTAAGAAGTGCTGCAATGCACGAGTTCCACATGTCTTGAAGATGGTAATGACCTTGGGATTTGATCCTGGTTCTGTTTAATGCGAGTCAAATTCTCTACCACTAGCGCAAAAGAGCTCCCATGCACCAGGTTCAAGAATTCCAATTCTTTTGAATGTGCAAGCACTGAGTTGTTCTCAAGATCACTACAGTAATTTAAGCCAATCAATTTAAAACACACATAACACAGACACTTAGTGAATATTTAAAGAATAGCCAAAACAGGTCAAGACAGAAGCAATCTAAACACTCATGAAAAGTTAAAATCAGAACCAAAAGTCCTAATTAAACTTCACAGATTGTGATGACTGTTGAAGACTTCAGAGAAATGCAAGTCATCCTTTCAATGTTTCTAAAATTTTAGCAGAAGTAAAACTGAAAGAATAACTGAAATAATGACAATCATTAGGGAAGAAAAAATTATTAATTTCTCCCATTTCAAAGTTTATTTTCTTAATGCGAAATTTCAAAATGTTCCGATTCTTCAGTGATATACAATGAATCATTCTAAAAAGGAAAGTTAAAATTTACACATGGATTAAAAGACATATATACTATTTAACAAATGAAATTCAAATTTTTAAAACAGAAGGCAAAATAATTTGAAAATTGGGCTTATGAAGCAAAGAGTAAAATTTGTAACTATTAGAAGAGAAAACTCGATGAAAATGAGATGGAAAAATTATTTCAAAAGGTTTACCTATAAAAAAGGAGAAAGATTTTTGTCAGTAACAAAACCTCTTAAATAATTAAATTCACAGTAAGAGATTATGAAGAACAAATATAAAATGCACAAAAAATGTAAGAGCTACCCTTGCTAAGAGAAAAATAAGATTTCACATTAGAAAACAGGTAAAACAATATTTTTTTGATAAACTGCATGCTGAAGTTGAGGAAAAGGAAGAGAGATGACAGATTCAAGAATGAGTTAAATAATGATATTAATGGATTTTGTAAATGAAAAAATATTTGTTAAATCATCATTCTTAACAATAAAAAGTAGCAGCTAAGTGGAAAAACACTACCACCAGGAACAACACCTGGAAAATGTAGGTATTTCAACACCCAAGTTCAGGTTTGGAGACATAAAATTACTATCAAAGATTTTTTTCATGGGGAGCCTCTTTCAGTGCTAGAATTTCCATGAAGGTCAGTATTTAAACAGGAATCAGCAACCTTCATAAAAACATGCCTAAATCATTACAAAAATAGGGGATCACTTTGCTAATTTCATTAATATATAAGCAGAGGATGAAATAAAATCACAATACCCATCAAAGCAAATCATTGCACTTGCACTGCATTGGATTATGATTCTAGAAGTATCATGAAAAAGCTGTTTTTAATAACCACACCAGCCATTCTATATTGTTGCATTTTTTTATTCTTCTGACACCAGTTGTTGCGTTATTTTCTTCCTTCATGTTCGTACGGGGTTCATAGATTTGGAGTGAATAACGATGACATTTAATGAAGTATCGAAACACACTTTATTGGCCAATATTATCAGGACAGCTCCAAAACACGTTTTTACAGTTGTCGATGAACTACTATAAGCACGCTGACACGTTCAGTGACACAGCCTCCAGGTTATCAGGCTATCACAGTGG